CCTCCAACTCTCCCAGTACTACCAGTGCTAGTCCTAGAGTCCGCTCCCAATACCACTCCATCCTTAAATTTCATGGCCATAATGGTAGTACCTGTATGGACGCTTTACATCAGCGGATTGGCAGTGGATCCACCAGCGTACCCGTCTGGATGCCCTTAGCTGGGCCGTTATCCGAGTACCCCATATACTGCATCAAATCATCGATCTCATCATCCTTTTGTTGCTCAACCACCCCAGCGACACTACCAACAATAGTACGAGGAACCAATCTTTGCTATCAGTACCTCATATCCCCAACATGCTGTTGTTTAGCAAACTGTCGCTCAGCAATGAACGTGGCCATAGTAATAGAAAAAACAACAACAACGAGATCGTCACTGCATCATCATCCTTATGTCTCATACACTCGAACACTACTCTACTACTCTAACCTCAACTCGACCAAACAGAGCCAGCAGAATAGCCTCGACATTTCCGTGACTCCAATGATCACGCCACTTCCCTTTCGGTAAAGTATCCCACTACTACATCAAACTCCAAGCCACTAGGACAGTGATCTACACCCTAGATGGATCATTGGACAACTGGCATGCATGTTAAAGAGCTGCTCACCTCAACACCGTTATACGTAATACTCAGAGCCCACTGGCAAGGAAATCCATACACAATAGATATATACTCAGATACTGGGTTATGCAAAAAGGCGGACAATACTGCCCACCTGAAATGATCCTAGATTCCCACAATCGGAGGCCACATTTCACGTCTTGAAAGATGCCAATCGTTACAACGTAGACCAGGGCATAACACCTTTCGCAGAGTAAGAGTATTCCATTTGAGCATGCCAGGTACTGCCTCGAGTAGATTCACTGGCTGCTGGCTGCCTCCCAACACAATACCTTTTATCATGGATAACACTCATAATAAGTCTACTGTTACTAATACGTGTAGGGTAAAGTGAGGCTATGATATGTACTTATCCTTATGCTCTATAAGCATCCTAGCACTACTCTTAGCATCAAAGAACAATCCATCAATCTCCTCTATGTCGCTCTTCTCTACCCTATTCTCCCTACCATATGTCGCTGCTACTACTGCTGCTGGAGCCAACAACTGTAGACAGTACCTGCAACAATAAGCCCACTGGTGATTACAATACTATAGCTAAGAAGAACAAGATCGAGTAGCTCCTTTGCTAGATCATGGATAATACCCCGACTAATCCTTTTTGTGAGATACTGCATTAAACAGTATAATAATCAGCAGTGTTAGAATACGTTTTTGATTTCCTCAGTTGAGCCCAGAAGTTTACTCACTGCATTTTGGAAATTCCCGAGAATTTCCAAAAATTTCCTCAGAATTTCTGTGCATATTTGTCTCGATTCTACATCCGTTTAGCCAAATAGAAGGCGAGATTTTTCTCACATATTTCAATAGCCCACGTGCAGCATACAGATGTTTATTGGATCTCACCTTAGACTGGTGACATGGCCAACCTTCCCAAGAAGCTCCATAGCTTCCTCTCCCACAATAAGGCCTTCCGTCTGGGCTCTGATAGCGACTATCTGGATGATCTCATCGACTGAGTAGGGGAGGGTACGAATGATAACAAGCCGGTCTAGTAGGTCCACAGGCATACCATGTGGAGAGACAATCTCCGTACCCCTGAGGAAACATACTAAAAGCTGGACTCATGGACAGCTACTACTA